GGGATGAGTCGGTGGACACGGCGTACGTCTCGTATACACCTAATTGTGATTCCGACCGATAGTCTCCCAAATAGTTTTTGTGTAAATAATTGTTAACAAAATGTGTAAAAACAATGAGACAAATGACGAATAGAGAGACCGAAACGAAGAGAAATATTGTCCGCTTTCTTCACATTCAATGATTAAATTAATATTAAGTTATAAATAATATGTAATTAAGTGTTTAATTTACCGATACATCCATTTGATTGACACATTCATTCTTCTTCTGTTTATTTTACAGAAACCCACAACTCGTCGACCGCTTTGGTTTTGTTTCTTAATTATGATTGATATAAATGAATACTTTTTAAAATATATAAATCATATTAAAAATTGTTTTTAAATTTACTGTTTTATTACCTATTAAATATAATATATTGATAATTACAAAATAATAATTAGTAACTATTATAAGATTTAATTCATATCTAATTCAATTAAAATTAATTAATATTACACTTATTATTACTGTTGTAAAAATATGTTATTATTTAAATGTATCTTAAAATATGAAATAAATTTAGTTTTATGTGCCGTAAATGCTTTGCTTTACATTTATATACAGGTATTGTTTTTATAATATGCAATCATTATTATAAGATTCAGCACTAAATATGTGTTCAATTCTAGTTATGAACCATTTATTGCCAATACAAATGTCATTATAAATGACTCATTTAAAGAGGTATCGGGATATGCATCGCTAGAAACCAATACCACTCCACACCTCCTATAATTGTAATGAATATATTTTATTTAATAATTAATTATTTTAAAAAACATTCATTGAAATAGAGTGGACACCGATTATGAACCCGGTTTTAGTAACAAAACATCTACCCATCCCATAGTCTATATATGAATATTAGTATATAGTAGTAGAAACCACATTATTAAATAACTTTGAAATTACATGACATTATTTCGGGATATAATTAGGGTTTGTGACCATTTTGACCACGAAGTTCTTCATAGGAGTGATCACTTGACTAGACATTGATGTCCTAACTTTATGTCATAACCCGATTGCCGTCTCAAAGCCGAGACTTCATTTAAACACTACACTTGAGATCATTTGATATTATACTCTGTGTTACGCTCTGTTAAAACATATAATTAATTAATTTAATGAAATGCCAATGAATTGACATTTTATTAAATTAAGTTTTATAAAAATATAAATTAATATTACTTTGAAATGTTAGGAATTTGAGTGAATTTACTATTCATAGTTAGAAATTGATAACAATTATTAAATAAAGATTACAATAAAAGTAAAATTAATGAGAAATATATTTGAAAAGTGAAATCAAAAGCCAATGACATTATATTATAGATTAATTATTTTGATGAATGCATTGAATTATGATTGACTTAAAAGTCATTTAACTTATTATTTACAAAGAAACTCATGATTTGAGTTTTAAATATAAGTTCGTTATCTGTTGTTTGAAATATTTGATTAAAAGTAATTATTATATAACATATTAATACATCATTTTAGTTGTTATTTCGTTTTACAACAAATGTATGTTAATCATAAATATATTACATAATTATTATTACCGGTATAAATTTATTTTTATATTATGTGTAACCATGTTTATTTTACAATGTTTCTAAACTTTATGATGAATGAATGCCATTCATAACTATAATTATTTCAATTATTTAACTATAAATATTATAATTACCTGTAATAAATATTTAAGTACTGTCGTACATTTAATATATTCTACTATTATATTATTCTGTAATAAATGCAACTTTTAATAATAAATAGTAATTCTTAATATATAAATGTAAATATTCAATGTTTCTTAAAATGCTAACATGGTAATTAATTGATTTAAGTATGAATTACTTGAAATGTATTAATTAAATTTAATTTATTTGTAAAAATATAAATTAAAATTAGTTTACAAATGATAAGTAATTATAAGTGAATTTGTTTTTGTTGTAGAATTACTACACATTATATAAAATGTTTAAATAATTATTATATAAAGAAGGGATGAGTCGGTGGACACGGCGTACGTCTCGTATACACCTAATTGTGATTCCGACCGATAGTCTCCCAAATAGTTTTTGTGTAAATAATTGTTAACAAAATGTGTAAAAACAATGAGACAAATGACAAATAGAGAAACGGAAACGAAGAGAAATATTGTCCGCTTTCTTCACATTCAATGATTAAATTAATATTAAGTTTTAAATAATATGTAATTAAGTGTTTAATTTACCGATACATCCATTTGATGGACACATTCATTCTTCTTATGTTTATTTTACAGAAACCCAAACTCGTTGACCAAAGCGTTTGATTTGTTTCTTAATTATGATTGATATAAAATTTATATTATAAATGAATACTTTTTAAAATATATAAATCATATTAAAAATTGTTTTTAAATTTACTGTTTTATTACCTATTATTTTAAATATAATATATTGATAATTAGAAATAATAATTAGTAACTATTATACAGTAAGATGTAATTCATATCTAATTCAATTAAAATTAATCAATATTACACTTATTATTACTGTTGTAAAAATATGTTATTATTTAAATGTATCTTAAAATATGAAATAAATTTAGTTTTATGTGCCGTAAATGCTTTGCTTTACATTTATATACAGGTATTTTGTGTAATGTTTTTATAATATGCAATCATTATTATAAGATTCAGCACTAAATACATGTTCAATTTTAGTTATGAACCATTTATTGCAAATACAAATGTCATTTTAAATGATTCATTTAACATGGTATCGGGTTTGTGCACAGCGAGAAACTAACATTAATACCACTCCACAACTCCTATAATCGTAATGAATATATTTTATTTTATGCTTAATTATTTAAAAAACATTCATAGAAATAGTGTGGACACCGATTGTGAACCCGGTATTAGCAAAAAAAAACACCGACCCATCCCATAAGCTATATATGAATATTAGCATAATACGTATGTTATAGCAGTAGAAAACACGTTATTAAACAACGTTATAATTACATAACATTATTTTGGGACATACAGTAATTAAGGGTTGTGACCATTTTGACCACAAGGTTCTTCATTGGAGTAATCACTTGACTCTATGTCATAACCCGATTGCCGTCTCAAAGCCGAGACTCCATTTAAACACCCCTTGAGATCATTTGATAGTATACTCTGCGTTACGCTTTGTTAAAAACATAATCAATTAATTTAATGAAATGCCAATGAATTGACATTTTATTAAATTAAGTTTTATAAAAATATAAATTAATATTACTTTGAAATGTTAGGTAATTGGAAGTAAATTTACTATTCATTGTTAGAAATTGATAACAATTATTAAATAAAAATTACAATAAAAGTAAAATTAATAAGAAATACAGTATATTTGAAAAGTGAAATCAAAAGCCAATGACATTATATTATAGATTAATAATTATTTTGACGAATGCATTGAATTATTATTTACTTAAAAGTTGTTTAACTTATCATTTACAAAGAAACTCATGATTTGAGCTTTAAATATAAGTTAGTTATCTGTTGTATGAAATATTTAATTAAAAGTAATTATTATAATATAATATAATGTATTGTATAATCTATAATCTGATGTATAATGTATAACATGATCAGTTTAGTTGTTATTTCGTTTCACAACAAATTCATGTTAATTATAAATATATTACATTATTATTATTATCTTTATATTATGTGTGACCATGTTTATTTTACAATGTTTCTAAACTTTATAATGAATGAATACCATTCATAACTATAATTATTTCAATTATTTAACTATAAATATTATAATTACCTGTAATAAATATTTAAGTAAGTTACTGTTGTAAAAATATATTCTACCATATCATATTATTCTGTAATAAATGCAATTTTTAATAATAAATAGTAATTTTTAATATAGTAAATATTCAATGATTCCTAAAATCCTAACATGGTAATTGATTGATTTAAGTATGAATTACTTGAAATGTATTAATTAAGTTTAATTTATTTGTAAAAATATAAATTAAAATTAGTTTACAAATGATAAGTAATTATAAGTGAATTTGTTTTTGTTGTAGAATTACTACACATTATATAAAATGTTTAAATAATTATTATATAAAGATTAACATTAAAGAAAAAAGTGAAAAGTGAAACCTAAAGCCAATGACATTATATTATAGATTAATAATTATTTTGATGAATGAATTGAATTATTATTAACTCAAAAGTCGTTTAACTTATCATTTATAAAGTACTTGTGATTTTAGCTCTAAATATAAGCTCGTTATCAGTTAAATAAAATGTTCAATTAAAAGTAGTTAAATGTTTATACAATTCAAATAAAACTAATAATAATAAAAATAATGATAAAAAATAAAACAATTTTTTTGTTGCTTTTGATAACCAAAAAACTTATGTATTGTTTGCCGATTATTATCAATGAAATCACATTTGAAGTCATTTAGAGGCCAATCCTTCGATAAGTTCAGTAACTCTTGAAATGCTTTTGGATTTTTGTATGCGTTTTGAAATCCGTTGTAATCTTTTAATGAGTTGTTTGTCATTCAATAGGCGGTCGATTCCGTCCAGGAGTTCGGTCTCCGAGCACTCGTACGGATCTATTCTTAGGCCCAACTCTTTCTCCTGAAGTCGCTGTGCGTTATCGAACTGATCGCAGAATATCGGCAACACTATCATCGGTTTGCCGAAGAAGAAGGTCTCTGTAAACGTGTTGTTCCCGCCATGAGTGATCACCAGATCCACCACTTTCAGCACTTTGATCTGCGGCACCGTCTGCTCGCCCCACATGTTGTCCGCCAACTCGAACCGCTCATGGAGTGGACCTTTCGATACGATGAACCGGTGCTGCGATTTGGACAGAATGGACACCAACCGCTTCATCAGATCCACGTCTGTGCCGCCCATCGATCCCATCGACAAGTAGATCAGTTTTCCGGTCCTATTCCTCAACTTCTCGGGTATTTCAAAGATATCGCCACAACCGGAACGCATGAAGTAATCAAATCGATGCCAATTGGACGGGAATTTAGTGATGTCTGTGTAATCGAGTTCTTCGGGAACCATATATATGTTGAGATAAGGGGAAGGAGTGATCAGTTTCTGTGTGGGAAGTGTTGGGAAGTTGTTATCTATGAGCCAATTGTTGAAATTCTCTAACGTTTGTGTCAGCGCTTCGTTCTTCTCTTCCCTTAACTTTTTCCACAACTTTTTGTCGCCGTTTGCCGGAAGACCTGAAGAACCCATGGATTCAATACATTAATTTACCATTTATTTCGATGTTAGCATCTATTTATTGTTTTATGACTAACTTTACAAAATCATATTATCAAATAATAGCTTATTTTATTTTTTAATTATTTATAAGACAGTCAACTCCTATATTACTGTATATGAAATAACACCTAATCTAATCATAATTCATAAATTGTTGTGCAATTATATATGAATGACATTTACACTGATTTCGTAGACAGTCTGTCGCCTATCATTAATTTTGTGTTTAATTAGTAAATCTTAATTAACTTTCTATTCATTTAAATTCAAAATATTTAAATAAAAAAATTAATAAATAAAGACTGACCTAAACCTCCCGGTGGTATCTCTTCGTCATCGAAGGCGTGATCGATGGACAGTAAGTTAGTGCTGACAGACCAGACCCACGGTATGCCAGAGTTCATCAACGATGGCATCCAAACAAAGCCGTCGATTACAATAATATCGGGTTTGACTCTATCGACACAGTCTTTGATCTTCCTGTCGGACGCCTGGATCTGCTTAATGAGACCATTGGCGGTGAGTTTGTTGAAGTTCTTCATTTTTTCCATCGGGGGTTTGGAGCCAAACATCCCTCCCTTGGAGAACAAAGTGGCCCAATAGGTGCCCGGATCCACATCGTTGTCACTCTCGGCCACGCGAATGATCTCTTCCTCGAAGCCATATTTGATGAGCATATTCTTCCAGATATCACAGACAGCGAACACAATGCGATGTCCCCTATCTCTCAGCACTTCTCCGATACCGATGCAGGCGTTGACGTGACCGACGCCGTCGGTCGGAGCGAACAGAATCGTTAACTTTCTTCTCATATTGTATTCAAGTTTTCAAAGTTTTGCTTTATTTTAAAAATATTTCAAATTCTTCTCTCAATTCTAGTCTCAAACTGAAGAAGCGATCGTTTTTGGCAAAGATTTTATAACTTAAGACTTTCACTAAGCAATCGTTAAATTATTATTTGTTTAGTAAATCATTCACTGAATCAATGACTCGAGCGCTTGAGTTGAATCAACTTTTATACCATTTTTTGCGAGTGATTGAGACAAATGACAACAAAAAGAGGCGATTCCGTTGTAGGAGAGAGAGAGAGAGAGAGAGAGAGAGAGA